TTTATATTTGGCATCTATTTAAAACAATAAGGAATCATGAACTATTTAAAATATTTTAAAATTACTGAAATTTTATTATATTTTTTTAGTAAAATTAATCAAACATATTAAGGCTATGTTCCTCTTCGAGGAAGATTTTACTCTATATGTATATGTATGCTGTAGTATACGTTGTGTAGTAACTATTACGTTACGTATAACTAGTACTATATATTTTGTAAATTGTAGTGTACTATATATTTTGAGTAAAATTTTCCTCGGAGAGGAAGTTTTGGAACGTAGCCTAAATTAGAGAAAATCACATAAAATTATAATATTTGAAATATTATCCTACGATTTATCATCGTGATTTCAGGATAAATTTCAATAAGAAAAATTTTTTTCCGTGATAATCAGAATATTATTAGCACGACACACGATCTGTTTCAAATCAAAAAGGCATTTTCATACTTATAATTAGTTGTGTTATTCGTAATGTAAGAACCCAAGTGGATCAATTTCAAGAATACGCAATCGTTCCAAGTAATGACAACATTTGTGACCAATTAAAAATTAGCTTCAAATTTTATAATCCAATATAAAGCCACTATTAAAAATTTATTACTAATCAGAAATTTGCCTCAAATTGTATTCAGCTATCTTTATGCGCAATGTTACATCATAATGCTATTCATCTGATGTTTTTTTATTATTGTTTATAATTGGAATATGTTAAAACAAAAAATCATCTAGTTAGGTAAACCCAAAACACAGAGATTTCAATAATTAAAAGAATCATAATATCAAAAATTAAAAAATCCTATTATTTTAAAAATACTTCGTGCAGAATTTTTTCTTTTTTGGATACTCAGAATGCATTATTAATTCACGCTCACATAAATCAATTTGATATATAAGAAATATCGCAGATAATATTTTCAGAAACAAATAGCTTCACATTTTTTATACACAACCTTTTGTATGTCTACGAAAGTATATATACATATATATATTGCAAATATATATATATATCATACAGGGTGTCCCACAATCCAAAGAATGACATTTTATACTCTATAAATTTTATACCCATATATATGTATCGATGTAATTTATATCAATTTTTATATTTTTATCTTTTTTCAATATTTTACTATAATAATTATTGAGAAATATGTATGCCGATTATTTGATATTTGTGTATTGAGATTAAATAAATATTTGACATGTTTCAGCCTTACTTATCAATATATTTAATTATCAATATATTTTCTTTTAATTTAAAAAAAATAGTTTATCTATTGATTATATACAAAATGTTTACGAACGAACATGAATTTATTTTGAAATATATATCTCACTATTAAACTGATATTTTATTATATATTTCGACATTAATTATGTATACGTAATGTATAGATTTTATATAGCAAGCAACAATAATTTCTTAATAAAAATGTCATTGTATATTTGTATTTTTATTAATAAGTGAAGTTGCTGAGAGAATTCTGAAGGCACCTTCACCATATCGTCATGCCTGAGCGCACAAAATATCAATTCCATGATTAGTAAACTTTAATCGCTAATTTAAAAACTATTATAGCTTCACATTTTCGTATTAAGATTTTCGTCTTAAAATGTTCCAAAGAATCCGTTCTTAAAAGGACAGATATAGGTTTCGGGACACCCTATATATAATATATCATAATATCTATATAAACCTATCTATGTATTGGATACTTCTAATGAAAAAATTGCTTGAGACGTTGATTTTTTCCTAATAGTTTTTCTCGACGCTGCACGTTATTTTATTTGTTTTACCTACCGACAGAATTTTCACAATTGTATCTTGCAATTATCTCAATGAATCCTGACAGATATTTAATTTCGATGTTCGATTTTAAGTTCAGTCAACCAGGCTATCGTGCGTCTTCGATTTCTGGAATTGCATCGACGAGGACTAGATACGAGGAAGACATTTATGAAGTGAAATGCGTTCTAGAAAAATATCTACCGGTTTAGAAAATTGTTGAGCGATTACACAACTTAGCCTCCACTATAGCGTCAATCGAACATCGATCGATACAGACGAGTCTTAAAACATAGTTTCGCACGATATGATTAATATTATATATA